ACGTACATGCATAGTACTATGTATGCTACCTTGAACTGGTGAAGAGAAGCGTGAGAAAATTATGTGAACTTGTTCTTAGCAGGGAAAAAAAAAGGTGAAATTGTTGAGACACCAGCTATTCAGCTATGATCACTGCATTGTATAGAATTCTATTATGTTTCCCTCTTTACTCTACTGATGCTACGTACAGTATTACTAAATTTCACCAACTTTTACTGTTACTGTATCAATCACTTTTTCCCCATATATATCGCTGCCGCCTTATTCCGCTGCCCTCGTCCTAAAATCATTGCTATCTGCTAGCTCCACCATAGCCAACGCCTCTTTTGATGGCTAGCTTCAGAGATAGCTGAAGGTTTTGAACAGAGATGGCAAGCTAGCAAACAGTTTTTTATCAAGAGCCACCATTATTTTGGTAATTAACATTCATGTCACGAGAACAACGATTCAATTTGGTTGCGTTATAATTTAGGGTTAAAGGGTTGAATTATTTAGCGAGAAATGTTGGGTACTTCAACTATTATCCTTTGGTAAAAATGGGAGGATGAGGTTGATAATATTCCTCCTTTTCATTCTCCTATGATTGATAATATTAACAAATGGATGTAGCAAAAGTGGTAGCGGACTAAACCCTTTAAATATTTTTTCAAAATTTGATTTTTGAAGATGTATGAAGAGCGTTACTTGAAAGAGAATAATTTTTTATATGACGGTCAGATTCCTTAAAAAATTAACATCATGAACGCCAAATGTGAGAATATCTTTGAAAACACCAAAAAAAAAAAAACATTGATAATATTTGGTTTGTCAGATAAAGATTTGCCAGTGAAAAAGAAAAATAATATCATTATAATTGACATGTTTATACGTGTGCATGCTTATGTGAAAGGGCTAATTTAAGAGTCGTTGTGCTCGTTATCTTGGCGTAACTTGCCATATAAACCAGGTCAAAGGCTCTCGGTTAGTTAATTATGCTTTAAGAATTAGATCCTGTCAATATTATAGATTGAATTCCCGAATTAGAGATATTTATACTAAATTATTTTGAATCAAAAGTAATTACTAATTAAGCTATAAGAAACGATTGAAAAAATTTAATGAGCAGCGAAATATAAGGGAAACAATATGCTAAACCATCTCGTGAAGATAAATTATAATTATAATAGAGAACAAAAATAGTATAATATTCAGTATCAAGCTATCATCATGCATATCCATGATCGGAGAGTTACATGGGTTTTAGATATTGCATGATTATACTGAATCTAAAAAATAATTACTACTAATGTAAGGAAACAATAAAATGCTGAAATTGTCATAATAGTTATAGCCTTATAGGATATACTCTTCTAATTTTATTTATAAGGTAGAGAAAGAAAGAAAAAATTTAATCACATTTATAGAGTACGTGCCAATTTTCAATGCTCATCTTTACAATTTTGCCCTTATTAAAATACTTTGAATAAAAACAAAAGAAATTAAAAGAAAATAATTAAACGGTCGTGGATTATGTTCAACTCAGCTCATGCAAGCAGCATCTGCACTCAGTGCTCATCACAATATCCTGGCCCTTCATTTTAGCCTAAATGCTCTTGGCCCTTCATTTTAGCCTAAAATGATATTTGCTGTTTTTTTAAATTAATATTTAAATATTTTTAATATTATATTTATTAAAATAAAAAATATAAAAAATTTTAATATTAAATTTAGACTATTTAGAGTATATTTAAATGGTTAGTTTGTAAAATTTATAATTTTTTTAATATTAAATTAAGTCATTTAGATTATATTTAGACTGTTCAGAGTCTATTTGGATAGTCAAATTATAAAATTATAAAAAAATTTAATGTTAAATTGAAATGTTAGATTAAATCTATATTATCCATATTAATAATGAACAGATTCATTAAATTTTTTTATTTTTTATATTAATAAATGTAATATTACAAATATTTAAAAATTAATTTAAATAAATAATAGAGATCAATTTGGATCAAAATGGAGGCCCTGATCTTGATGAGCACACAGTTCTCATCACTTGCAAATCCATGCAAGCAAAAGCATATATCTTCCATTCAGCTCTTTGAAAAATGGAATTTCTTTTTAAATGCTACCTCCCTACTTATTTATAAGCTATTTTTGATTTTTTTTTTGGGCCAAAAATAGACGTTACTACCCTACAGCACTAGCAAGAAAGCAGTAAGCATCCTCCAGAGGTAGGAAATGAAGGCCAACCCAACAAGCGATGCTAATGAGATGGGCTTCAAAATCATCCTCCTGCAAACGTATCCGAGATCAAGAGTTCATTCCTGACGAAACATACTTTGGCATTAAGAGATCAACTCCTAGTGAGCGTGAAAATTGCTAAGAGACATAATAAGAGTAAGGGCCCGTAACGAGACCACCATCCCAAGCTCTTATAAGAGTAATAAAACAAGTCCAAAGTTTAGCCACAAGAGGATTCTTTCAGATAGTTCAAGCTTAAAAGCTTCTAAAAGAGATTGATGATTGTCGTGGATGATACCCCCACAACCTGTATTATAATTAAGATGAATAGGCTCCATCAATACAAACACTGATCTAACCTTCATGTACTAATGGAGGATCTCCCACGTCCTTCACAACATGCCAAATTGAATATTTATTCTTTTCAAACTTACCTGTAGAGTTGAGAATAAGAATTGAGCTTGATGGGTTACTCATTTAAACTCATTTTTAAATGAGTTTAGACTTAAAAAGAATAATATTTTTTAGAGAAATCGGGCTTTGAAAATCAACCATAATAGGCCTTGAAAAAACAGGCTTGGATAGCTCTTTTTTATTTTAACTCTAAAAAAATAAAATATTTTTATTTTTTAAATTGAATTTAAACTTTAAAATATATATTTATACTTTAAAATTTAATTTTCTATTATTTATTTATAATTTGTATTTTAAAATATATAAAATATTATAGTTGAAAATTTTAACTTTTAAAGAATCTAAAAAATAAATAATAATAATAATAAAAGATTTGTATGCAAACCCTGAGCTGTTTGAATAAAAATTAAATTTTAAAAATTAAATAATTTTTAAAAATTGAGCTTGAAGGCCAAGCTCTTAGAAGCTCAAGCTCACATGGATTTGGCCGGCTGTTTTCCACCTCTACTTATACGTGCATCATTATGATTACTAACATGCCCTTGGCTCTTAGAAAAGAGATGCAGGGTGCAAGTAACGTTATTTTCAAATATTTTGTCATTCTTATGCTTCTAAATGAGCTAGCAAAAAACAACACGTGGCTCCTTCCAATATCCTTCAACCCGCCCCACATTTGCAGTCACGTTTAAACGGTACAATTCCCACAAATTACAAATAAAAAATATTGTGAGAAGACTCGGCTTGATGATAGAAATCCACACAGCTTTTATTTCCTCAGTCGCCTAAAACATGGATACTATCTCCCTCCACGTGATGACACCAGGCACAAGAAGTGGAACCACTCATGTCTCGATCTTTTCTAGCTTCTTTTGTCAAAAGCTTATTGTGAAGCAGTAACCAAGCGAAAATACTTACATTTCTGGGGACTATTCAATTTCCAGAGTTTATTCCAAATGAGGAGCTATTTTTGATGTTTTAATTTATAATTTATTTTACAAATTTCATTGAGAAATTAAAAATTCTTGTATTATTTTTATATGGATGTTATTGAGTAATTATAGTAGAGAGGGAGATTAAAAAAATAAGTAATATTATGTTAAAATTTATTATATTTAATTAAGGGTACTTCTAAAACGTAAGATAATTTTAAAGTTATTCGCTAATTTTAACTAGTCTTTTATCTGTATGTGTCTGGCATAGAAATGACATAAAGGTGATAATTTTTTTTTTTAACCAAAACATAAAGGTGATAATTAATATTGATAATTTGATGTTGACATTAAATATAAAATTTAAAAAGGACAATACTTATATACTTACTTTTATATATTTAACATGCTTTTATTAAATTAAATTAAGATATATAAATTTTAATATGTTATTAATAAAAATTTATTATGAAATAAATAATATTTAATAAATATATATATCTTAATTTAATTAAAAATAAATTTTTTAAATATATAATGATAAGTATATAAGTTTTTTTTATTTTAAAAAATGTTTTACAAGCCTTAACAGCTACCCTCAAAACACAAAGCGTTAAATGTTTTGACTTGTGAGGCCCAACAAACAATGTTCGGTGGCGCATCACTTGACTTGTGAGGCGCGCGACAATACAAATAAGTTACATGAAAACTATTTTGAAATTCTCAGGTCCGAAGGGAAAACTTTTTTTTTTTTTTTTTTGAACGAACGAAAGGAAACTATTTTGAAATCCATTTTCTCTCATGTACAAATGGACTTTTATAATATACACATCACATTGATTAGCTATAGAAGAGGAAACTAAAAAAAAAATTAAAATTCAACAACTCTCAGTAAAAATTAATAAGTTGTTTTTAATTCCATCTCCATTAATATTAAACACACACATATAGGTAGATATTAATAGCATATTTTTCTTACTAATATTTGATCTGATGAAAGGGGAAACTTACAATGAAAAGTTAATAATATACCTTATAAGTATGATTAAAAAATCTCTTTTGCTGTATTATATAAATAAGACGAGAAGGAATATATATTATGTGTACACACACGTGTGTATATGGATATATGTATGTGTGTGTATTAAGTAATTCACACACACATACACATCTGTGTGTATAATTAAGTATATGTATATATGCGTGGATGCATGTACTTTTTTTTTTTTAACCAGCATTTATGTATGTGTGGAAATATCCATTCAAAATTATGAATTACTTAATATATTGACTTCTTTTTATAAACATAGTTTTTCCCCCAAAAAAAAAAACTAAACAGAGAGGTTATAAGCTTAGCAGAAGCCATTGGCATGATTAAATTCCGTAACCCTCGTTGCATCCCTCATTTGTGTTTGTCTTTACAAAAATGCACGCAACTCATCACCCTCTCTCCCCAACACCATACCACCACCTCCGTTATCGATCTCCTCCGTTCTGTCATGGGTTGTGGCGCTTCAGTTTTGGGTCCTGAGCACCATCCCAACAACCCCTTCCACTACAAAGTCGCCCGACCCATCAACGTCGAGGAGCCTCCCAAAGCCTCTCCTTCGCCCCTCAACAACGACGCCGTTTTCTCCTTCCGCTTCATGCCGGCCGACCATGACGAGGTCGGAGTCAAAGAGGCCAAGCAACATGGCCCCGCAAAGCCTCCGTCCGTTAACGTTCTTCCACCCACCGTTGAGATTGAGAGGGATGATGCCTTCTCCGGCGCTGCGTCCCCCAGTTTCAGGGAATATTGCGTCCACTCCGGATCTTCCAGTGATATAGAACACTCCCACGATGACCCTGACATGGCCGAAACCACCGACAACATGGGTGAACGAATATATCATGATCCCAGGTTTTTGATCAAGGTTGAAAATTAAGGCTGTCATCTAATGGTTTTGCTGCTCTCTGCGTAGGTAATGACGATCCAATATTGGTGGGCAAGAGCAAGCCATCGAGGAAGGAAATCACCAACCCCAAAAAGGTATTGTCAACTATAACATATAAGGTCGATTGTGTTCCATGAAATAATTCGCTCTGTTAAATGCGCGACCCCTTTGGCAGGAGTCTGAGAAGAAAGAGAGAAAAGGGAGAAGACTTAGGGATGTTATAAACAAGGGAAGATCAGGTGGGAAGAAAATTGGCATCGTTCGCCATAGATCTGACAACATAGCCGGAAGACTCACTTGAGAAGAGAAAATGTGAAGAGCAAGTCCTTAATTCTCATCCATCTTGCGAGTGTCGTGGGACTATAGAGGAATCAGGATTGCTTTTTAAAATCCTGAATATTCTCATATGACATATCACATACCAGTTATGGGGGTCAGAAGAAAAGTTTATATACATACATGCTTATTCACCTGAATATTCTCATACGACATTTAACATACCAACAGTTATCGAGGTGAGAAGAAAAGTTTATATACATACTGTACTGGACCTTATATATGCGCAATCTGATATTCTGATGAATAATGCATGGCTTATTCAAATTCTGCTTCCTCCCCTTTAGTTTGCTGTATTTCTTGTTTTATTCACCATGACACTTTTCATGTCTTCAGAGAATTACCAGACACACGTGCGTGATCTATATTATATTCAGAACTGATGATACGCTAAATTTAAACACAGCCTTAGCCTGCAATTCGCACTTCTCTCTACGAACAAAGTTAAGGGCAGGAATTGCACCGCTATATTCTGTCCAATGCTTTCAGAAAAAGCTCCTGGTCACATGCCAAACCTTCGTACACATATATAAGCAGATAGGTATGTATAGTAGTAGAGCATAGACTGGACGGTATCGATAAGCCAGGCATATACAAGATTAGTAGCGTACCTAGTCAATCAGCTCTCTTTGTATTTGAATTGGGGCGTCGAAGCTTGCTCTACAAGATTATAATCTGACGAAACAATTAACCGTTTTTATACAATGATAAATGATGTTGCCTTATTTATAAGTCATTGTCCGCACATTTTACCAAAATTAAGGAAAATGTTAAATCTTATTAATCTTGTTTTAAAATTTGATAAGTTTCCACTTCTACCTTGTAAGGACCAAAAAAAATTATTTTTAACGTTTAATAAGAGTAGGAAGGTAATGATAAATATTGAAAATAATGAAATGCCTATAAATAGAATTAAAATTAAATTTCTTTCTCTACCCTGTATAAATAGAACCAAAGGATAAAATATTTCATCAATCCCAGCTAATTAAACAATTGATACCAGGATAAGGTCATGAGTTCCAATTCTATGGATATGTTAGGGGCAAATGAGAAAATGATATTGTTGAGCAAAAAGAAGGTCGGCCACCATTTCCGGGGAAAAAAAAAAATCTTGTTTCTATACTGTGACGCTTGGCTCAGATGTTTAATTACAGTGTGTTGAAAATTTATAATGGCAACCGTTCCATAATTTTAATGGCAAATGATTCATTTTAATAAAGAAGGAAATTAATATATTAGTATGCAATTAATATTTATAACAAATTTCACTTTTCTACTTTTCACAATATTTTAGACAATCCTGTTTAATTATTAAATTTTATGCAACTCAAAGGGCCACCTAGTTTAAAAAAGAAGAAGAAGAAGCTTTTGAAAAGTAATGGATAAAATGTTGCAAATATTGCAATCCGCGCAGCGCTCCCATCTAATCGCATTCGTTCAGTGTAATTTTTCCGAAACTGTTTGGTTTGCTACTTTGCTTCTCTCCCAGTGCTCATAACTATTAAGTCATAACGAATATGACATGAGGGGAAGGCTTGATAATTACACAAAAAATTATAAAATAATAGGAGGACGAGGATTATTGGAAATTAAAATAGGATGCGTGGTTCATAAAAATGTTTCACCAAATCAAATAGCCGTCGAGAATTAAGTGTGAGTTGATGAAAAAAGTGAGAGGAAGTCCTGTCTGTGTTGACTAAATCTAGATTAAATAAAAAGTATGTAACTGATATATGTAACTGATATATATATATATATATATATGTATGTATGTATGTATGTATTTCAATATTTGATTCGATATCATATCTTGAATCGAAATATCAGGCATGGGGTTTGTGAATCTAAATATCAGGCATGGGGCTTATGGATCTATATATATATATATATATATATGTACCTCCCCAAATTATTATATATATAAAAGTAAAGTTAAATGTTATAAGAGAATGTCACGTGTCTAATTTTAAGTTTACTGTAATTCTTTGCTTCAGGATGTATTTCTTACAATTCTGTACTCCCGAATCAGGTTTGGAGTTAGGTTTGAGATGATTTATTATTTTTTTAATGTATATAAAATATATTATTTAAGTTTGGAGTTAGGTGTAGGATGAATTATTATTTTTTAGATGTATTAAAAAAATAAACTTTATCTATTTCAAATCCAAATCTGATCATATTTGAATTAAAATTAATACTTATGTATTTAAAATTTAGCAAAAAAAATATGTGTTTAAAATTTTCTGTCTGTCCTCATGATTTTTGAAAATTTTGATGCATCCTAAATATTTTCCAAAAATTAAGGTTCATGTAATCAATCATATAATAAATTTGAATAAAAAATTATTTACATATCTTGGGTGATTTTGCAAAATTTCAATCATATAACAAAGTGTATATATATCTATTCAAAATTCAAATATATAGTTTTTAGTTATGGGATAAAATATTACTAAATACTAAAATTTAAAATTTCTCAAAATAATTATTTATGCTAAATATGATTCAAATTTCCAAATAAATGGTACTTTAATTTCAAAGCTTGATTCTGTTTTGAATTTTGAATTTAAAATTACTCATGATAATTATTTATGATAACTATTGATTATATTATATTATCGATTTAAATTCAAATTTCCTCTAATGCATATATTATATCAATTATAAATAAATATGTTTGGTTACGATTTCATTCCATATTTTCAGTTTCAACTAATTCATGTATAATTCATGCTCCTTTTTATAGGGTAATCAAATTTTTGCGATTCATAAGACTATCTATTTGTTCATTGATTATTCTTCATTGCTATAAATTTTTCTTAGTTTCTCCAATTTTTCAAGTAATTTGTTTAGCATACCACACCTATACACAAGCATCTAACTCCAACATCCACACACTACGCAGTGATTATAAAGCTGACGCCGCTACAATTGACAATTACACAATATTTTTCCTTGCCTCCAAATTTTAGTCTCGATTTTGCTATAACTTTTCTTTAGTAATTATCTCTAATTGGCATACATGAAAGGAGCCTAAAGATGAATTTTCTAAATAGGTAAATAATCTAACTCTATTTTTAACTGTCATTATGGTTTGTATCAAATCTTAGCTGGCTTGAATTTTGTATTTTTCTTGGCTATCTATATTTTTTTTTTTGGAATAATGTCTAAGCCCATTGAGATATTGTAGTTCACATAATGGTAATAATATTTCATTGTAATATAAGTTTGCATCTCAATCCCAACAAGCTAATATATAGCTACTAATTTTCTATTACCAAAATATGTCATAGTTGAATGACAATTAATCTTTAGATTGAGACTCACCCAAAATTAACTCCACTTGAAGGACAAAAAATGCTCCATCAAGCAAGGATGCTCGTGTAATTAGCTGAACAAAGAGGAAGGAGAAAGTGAAAAGCATAAGAAAAAGCACATAATCACTTTAGAGGAAACTTTGACCATTTGTTGCGACAAGAAAGGCAAGAATATTGACAATTTTATTGCAATTGAAGTCGCTACTTGAGAAGTAGAATCTCAGGCCATTGGATTAATGTTGTCATTTATATAACAAATGAAGCTAATCTCGATCATACCTAATGACTAATTTGAAGGCAAACTAGGTAACAGATACCCAACCTCATGAGTGTTAATTGAAACATCCACATTATTGAATGACAGTATTTTTAGTTGTTTATGAAATGAGGCAAAGGTGAATTTCAAGCCAAAGTAACTTCTCCAATGTTTTGAATGTCTTTGCAATTTTCTTCTTTAAAAGACAGTTTATTTATTAATTTTTAGATTAGTTCAAGATGATATTTTAAATATTAATATATATATATATAGAGTAACTAAAAGATACATAGTTTCTAATTTTTAATTTTGAAAGATATGTAAATAATGTAAATAACGTTTTCTATTTAAATGGCAATATTTTTTAATTAGAGGAAATGAGACAGAGTTGGATTTGATATTCTTCCTCAATTTTATTTTTTAGGGTTCCTTTTTAGTGATTGCCTTTAAATTGGATTGAGGATTATGTGATTAATTAAAAAAATTACCCTAGGTAATTTGTTTTGATTTTATTGTAATTATCTAAAACAATAATAATATCATCCTATATCAATCTAAAATATCATTTTACATAACTATAATTGATTAAGATTTACAAATCTTAATATTAAGATTAAAATCTAAATATATTAGGTAATCAATTACAATTTTTTTAAGATTTTGAATTTTTTTATTTCTATAATATGATTATGTGGTTTCAACATTAATAGTATACTATTTTTAAATTTAATTATTTTTTTGAAAAATCTTTAAATAGTATAATCTAATATGTTGGGTTGGTTTCGATTTAATTTTTATATAATATATTTACATTTCTAATTATCTTCAAAATATAATTATTATTCATGTCGGGTTTAAGATTAGTAAATATTTAAATTTAAAATTTAAATATTTAATCGAGATAAGTTAATGGTGCAAAACATTATCACAGTCATGTATCATTGGTAAAATGATTTTGCCTAATTAATCATATCTTCTAAAAGTATTTAAAATTTAGATAACACTGTAATTTGAGTAGGATATTTTTTTATGAGATAATTTGAGTAGAATATGTTAATAATCATTTTGGACAACATATTCAGTTATTTTAGATTTTCAACATAATGTACTTAATATTAAAAAGACTTTAGGTTTAAATTTTAAGTTAGAGCAGTTAATAAATAATGATTAGATAAAATTTTTAATTTTAATTTGAATTTTTTTGTATAAATATTATCCTAATTATGATTAAATGATATATTAGCTACTATTTTATTCAAGCCAAAATTGTTAGAACAGTGAGTTTTCATAAACTTGTGAGGAGAGAGATGTGTTTAATAATATTTTAATAGTCAATAAATAAAATATGTGGTAAATGTGTTATCCTAAATTAAATAGTCAATAAAAATAATAAAATAAAAATAATTATAAATAAAACATTTAAAATCAAGTATTCTTATATTAAATCTAATTCCATGCATTTCATTTTGAGAGTATGTTGAAAAAATGATATTTTTGAATCTACTGTGTTAAAACTAATTGCATAAATTCATATAAGAATTAAGAATTAGAGTAGTATTTAAAATTTCCTACTTACATGTATAGATCTACATAAAAGAAAATAACTTGTGACAATTTATAATATATGAAATATCAGAATAATAATAATTTATCTAACTAAATTCATAACCTCATGTGTTATCCATAAGCAAAGCTAATTTGAGGGAAAATCACTGCGTAGTTTTTTCCCTAATATTAAGTAAATGAATAGGGGTTAATTTTAGAGAGAATTATGTTGAAGCTCTGCATAAAAAAATTAATTATCATAAGATTCATTAACAACTGAACTAAAGTCATTGACAACACAATAGACTTAACTTAGTTATTAATGGACCTTCTGATAATTAATTTTATTGTCTAAGACTTAGATGTAATTTTTTCTTATTTTTATTACTTTCATGAATGGACGAGATTGAACATGGGGTTTATTTAACAGTTAAAAGTCAAAAAGAAAAATCATTTGAAAATTGACTATGTGGATTGATAAAATACAATATGGATTATATTATGTAGTAAAAAGATAAAAATATAAAAAAAGGGTGACAATCATCATCATCGTATA